TATTGAGGCTAGTATTCTAGATGATGTATTAGTTTAACTAATCCCTCTATGGTTATGGCAGAATGATTCTGACCTCTTCTTATATATTGGGACAATCAGTGATTGATACCAGTCAGATGGAATTACATCCAACTCCCAGATGTTAGCTAAAATATTAGTCAACCTAATCGCTCAATTTAAACTACCATCCTTAAAGACCTCTGGAGCCAATCCGTCTGTACTAACTGCTCTTCCTCATTTCAGGTTAGCTATAGCTTTTTGAACTTCAATTAGAGTCGAGGGACCTACTTCAATGTTCCATTCAGGCTGTTTAGAAATGGTGGGTAGTTGTAGAGTAGCTGAAGGCCGGCTAAACTGCTCCTTAGTGTTCTTCCCATTGTTCTAAACGTCTGGACTGAGAGCAGTTGTGTCGTCTGTTTCAGAGGTCATCTAACACTTGACTTCTTAATTCCAGTTTCTTTTATTAGTCTGAAAAGCTGTCTGGTGTAACCTACAGTCGCTGCCTTTTTCATCTCATTTGCTTTCGTTTCCCTCTACTGCTCACTGTCGTTCCTTAGACTTTTGGTTAATCTAGATCTGACTTGTTTTTGCTCGTCATCGTGTTCAGAGCCTGATGGGGTAAGTTTACGAGAGTCTGTCAGTGCAATAGTTGTAGCAGGAATCCACTGGCTTTTCGTAACTTTAAATCAATAACAGATGTCTCTGCTTTTTCTACAGCTGTTCGTATAGTTGATAATCGAGGTATGAGGAATACTAGGGATTGAAGAGGGAGATGATTATGAATACGGTGGTCTTGAGTGCTGTTAGAGATATGAGGGTGGTTATTAATTCCCGGTTGCCCACACCGTGGAAGGGCCCTTCTAGAGGCATCTAAAAGCAAAATTGGATTAGGGTTGGTTTTAGTGACCTGGAAGTGTAACCTCAGTACCCAAGGGACAACTGCTTGAGGACAGTCACACACAACCTTTTTGTGTTAGCTCCCTACTTGTCAAAACCCTACAGTCGGAGACGGAGAATAAAAGTACAAGAAGTAATCGGAAAGACTAGGTTTTGAGGATGTTATTCAAGGAGTATTATCCAGTGAAATAAATTTGGAAAGAGAAAAAAGGGACACGAAGAATTCGGAATATTAGAATTTGAGAGAACACAAAGAGTGAATGCCATTGCAAACGATTTTGAGCCATATCATCCAAGGTCTCTATCCATCAGTTGTTATCGTCTCGCGGATCCCAACCAGGTAGTCTACACCTACCAACATGACTCAGTCCACTTGTCAGTGACTTCATGGATTTGTGCCATGTTTTGGTCTGGCCGCCCCTAGCTTTCTTCCAACTTACTCCTATACCACTGAACATCGCACGTCGAGGCAGTCGGTCATTGGGCATACGTAACACGTGTCCCAGCCATCTCAACTGATGAAGTTTCACTACGTCATCAATTGATTTGCCATCCTTACCTAGTACCCGATCCCTAACAACTGCGTTACTTACTCGATGTTCCCAGGATATACGAGCAATATTTCGAAGACACCTATGATCAAATACTAGTAACCTACGGATATTCTCTACTCTTACCGGCCATGTTTCACTGCCATAAAGTAGGACGGAACGAACTGCTGCGCAGTAAACCCGTCCTTTGGTTGGTAGACGGATATCTCGCCTACGCCATAAATGACGCAAGTTGGCAAAAGCTAGTCGAGCCTTCTGTACCGTGCTGAGATTTCCTCACACACCAGACCACAAGGGCTGATGAGACCTCCCAGATAAGTGGAGCGGTCGACACGCTCAACTACTTCACTCCCTATCATTAGTTCGGGTGTCAATGCATCCCAATCCTGAAGCAACATTTTGCATTTCGAGGGGGAGAATCGCATCCCGAACATGCTTGTATTGTTGCTTAGAGTGGTCAGAAGACTCTGCATTTTGTCAGCGTCTTCACCAAATAAAACTATGTCATCAGCATATTCTAAGTCAACAAGTGAACCTCCCGGTAGAAGTTCAACCCCTGGAAATCTAGACGAGAAAAGTGTCATCTCTAAAAGCACGTCAACGACAAAGTTAAACAAGAATGGAGAGAGTGGATAGCCCTGACGAACACCACTTGAGGTAATCAATTCTGATGACAGTTTGCCATAAGCTCTCACTCTACCAGTTGTGTTTGAGTAGAGAGCCTTTATAAGGTTAATGGACTTTGATACTCCTTTCAGCGACAAACACTGCCATAGAACCTTACGATCGACAGAGTCGAATGCTGCCTTAAGGTCGAGAAATACTACGATTGTGGGGCCTCTGGACGTGTCTGAGTTCTAGAACCTGACGTAGTGTGAATATGTGGTCTATACAACCACGTCCAGGTCGAAAACCAACCTGATTTTCTCTAGTCTGTTCCTCACGAGCTTTAGTTAGGCGTCGAAGTATTATTGAAGCTAATAGTTTAGACACTATATTAGTCAAACTGATTCCTCTGTGATTGTCACAAGAGGACTTTTGTCCTTTCTTATAGACTGGCACAATCAGTGATTGAGACCAGTCAGATGGGATTACGTCCAGTTCCCAAATTCTACCTAAGACCTCAGTTAATCTCACTGCTAATACTGAACCTGTCAGGGCCTGCTGCTCTCTCTCGCTTCAGATTTCCTATAGCTTTTTCAACTTCATAAAGAGTTGGAGGACTTATATTTACTTGCCATTCAGGTTGACTACCGATCGTGGGAAACCGAAGTGTGGCTGAAGGCCAGTTGAACTGATCCATAAAGTGTTCTGCCCATCGATCCAATCTCCTGGATTGAGAATGTATAATATGTCCTTCTTTCTCTGAGAGTGTTTCGCTAACAGTCGGTTTCCGTAACAAGTCTGAACAATTGTCTGCTATTTCCTATTGCCGCTGCCTTTTCCATCTCTCTTGCTTTCGCTACCCACCAGTGTTCGCGATCATTGCGTAGGCTTCTTGTCAGCCTGCGCTTAAGCTGACTCTGCTCTTCATCATGTTGAGAGCCAGATGGGATTAGTTTTCGAGCATCTACCAGTGCGGTAGATGCTGCTGAGATCCAGTGTTTCTTCCTCACCTTATGGTTCACTTTACTAAAAAATATCACTGCTGTTTCCACAGCTTTTCGGATATCATTCCAAGCTGCCTCGGGGTGGGCATCACGTACATGGCTGCCTAACAGTTTTTCTAGTTGTTCCTGAAATATACTCTTAGCTTGACTATCATTAAGTAGGGCCATAAGAGGTTTCCTTGCAGCGTCTTTCCTACGTCCAGTAAGACGCAGACAGATACGCGCTCGCACTAGAGCATGATCTGAATCCAGGCATGTGCTCTAAAATGAGTGACAGTCTTCTATGCAACCCCTCCATCGGTGGCTGGTAGCGATGTGATGTATTGAGGTCCAACGTTGTGACGAATTAGGGGGTCGCCATGTCAAAAAAATGTTCTTCCTAATGCTTAAAGTTAGTATTTGCGAGAAACATGCGGTTATCTGAGCATAGGTGCAACAGACGGTCGCCATTATCTGTTCTTTGAGCCACGACACCATAAGATCTGCCCAGGTGTCTTTCCCTTTCGCTTAGTTTACCTACTTGAGCATTAAAGTCACCAGCCACTATTACTACATCAAGACGCCTAGATTTTCGTAGAAGGTCGGTAAGCTTTCTGTAAGATTCGTCTTTTACATCATCTGAGCTACAGTCAGTGGGAGAGTAGGCAGAGACGATGAAGAGGCAACGACGTGTGTCCCTATCTTTCCGAGTCCTTACTGTTCCGTTTAGTCGAACAGCGCAAAAACGGCTGCCTACTGTGGTCCAGACTAAGAGAGCTAGTTCTGCCCTAGGACTCAATGCTATACCTACGACGGCGAGGCACCGAGAAGCAGCATCAGGGCTTCCAGGTACACGAAGTATGAATCGAGTTGGTTCTTTATTTTGATATGGTGAGGTCAAATGAATGGCGCCACTTGGATCCTGTATGCGCGTTTCAGAGTCGCAGCACACGTCGGTGGCGCGAGATTCTAAAATCCTAATTAAGGAAGCCTGTTGTCCTATTTGGCATAGTGTTCGGACGTTAAAAGCTCCTACATGTAGTTTAGAGTGTGGTTTCAGGAGACCAGGAGTAACGTCCCGCGTACTCGGATCGTTTGCAGTAGAGGCGCGGGATGATAAGGGAACGTATGAAGGGTTAGTAGTGGAGGTAAGAGAGTTATTAGGAGGTGTAGGAAGTATTTGATTTTGACCAACATGGTCTCGTGTGCTTTACGGGTGTGAGGGCTGATGTCACTTCCCGTCTGCCCACACAGTGAAAGGGTATTTCTTGAGGAACCTGAAAAGGAAGTTGGATTAATGTTGGCCTTAACGACCTGAGAGCGTGACCGCAGAGCCCAAGGGACAACTGCTTGAGGCCGGTTTTCGATGTGTTAGCTCCGTTCTTCAAGAGGGCCTCACCGCCGGAGACGGAAATCCGTGAAGTAAGGTGAGGTGTGACATTTTTAGGGTCGACTTTTTCTAACCCTTCTTTCCTTGCGAGAAAGCAGCATCGCTGCAGATGCTGGTTGCCCGAGGGAAGCACCTTACTGCTGTCACACCTCTCTACAACCAGCAGTACGACTTCGCCCTCAGACCTTGAGTTGCTCCAATCGACCTGTCTTGCATGGCAGAACCTAAACAAACACATGTTCCAACCAATATAACTCGGTTGGGCCATCACGATAGGGAAGCCCTATCACCACGTCAAGGTAGCAGCTACGGTCGTGAAGAGTAGTCATGACTATTCTTTACCAGTAAACCAAGCTGTTTTCTGGATTTTTTACACAAAATTGTAAATTAATATATAAAATTAATGCTTATGGGGGAGATTAAGAGCCTTGGTCATGGATTCCTTTTACTTTGTCTCATAGTACTTGTTGGTCTTTGTTTATAAAAATTGGTATGTTTTTATAAAGTTAACATAGTGTTCTCAATCGTACATATGACGCTAAAAGCACATATTCTTTTTTCGCTACTAAATAGGAACACTCCACGAAGACTGTTACAACTGAAGTTCTGAATTTATTCGGCCATATGTTGCCAGCAATTTTTCCTTTTAAGCTGGTTGGTGTAATGCAAGAGTTAATTAAAACTGCAACTGATTCTGGCACTGAATTAGCTGCTCATCAATATCTTATAGTGTGTCTAATATTTGTTCACGCTGTAATACTGCAAGTAATCATTATTTTACTCAAAATATTAATCTCATATCATTTATCTAACGTCTTTCCACATCCTAATGTACTGATTCACTGAACTATTGAGGTCATTGCTTCCTTAAAGTGTGTTGGGGTTTCTTTATTGAAGACATGAGAGAAATGTTTGTGTCATTTATTCTTCACTATCATTTAAAATGATTGTTTGTTAACTTCATTGATTAATACATATCAGTTTGAGTCAATACGACTTTTTTATATTTCAAGTACATTATCACATGCTATTACTATTTTATTTATATTTCTTTTGTTCCTATTCACTCATAAACATATCTTCTTCCTTGAAAACAGGAGTTGTTTGAATGACTTTCGTTTTTAGTGATTTATGTGTTGAGCAACTTACATTTTTCTCAACTTAGTTTTTCAATATACCATAAGTAATGTTACAATCAAGCGAATGCTAACGTTTATTTTGGGATTAAGTAACAGATTATGTTGGTTTTTACGTTGTTTGACTAAGACAGATGTTCATTATGCTGTGTTTTAGTTGTAGATTGTTCAGAATCTAACGTAATTTCCGTAATCCTTAGAAGTTATGCGTCATGTGTTATTTTAATTCTATGAACTGAAAAGCTGAATATGACTCCGGTTTTGTTTTAGTTAATCATGGATTTAGTTAAGTTTAGTTCTGTTTGCAACGTAATAATGTATTCTTTGTTGTCCATGTTTTGATAATTAACCTTCAGATGTTTGAGATAATTGATATTCCAGATGTTTGTAAATAAAAATAATATATTTGTAATATCCCAATAAGTAGAAAATTGGATTTTTCTGACGTTTCGTGGCTTAGTGTAAGTCACTTCTTCATATACCAATTAATATAATTTCTCGATCCGAAGAAAACATCTGAGGTTTTTGTAGGTTAATAAAGTAATTAACACAACTACGAATATGAATATCAATAAAAAGACCACTTTTGCTCGCTCTCGTAAGTACGTAATTACAAATTCATTTCACATCTCCTTATTCCTCTCTTCCGTTTTATCTTCATTCCGTGTTTACTTTTATTTTCCAACATGTCCTATCTACTCGAACTCAATTCACTAACTGGTTAGAAGTCGACTGCTACTACCGAATACGGATTCTTAACCAGTCTTTCTGAAGCTACGTGAATCACCCAAACGAACTCCTTCAACGTCCGCACACTAATGTAGATCAGACAATAGTTAAGGTTGGCCATGTCTTCGAAGCGTCTCAATATCGATGTTTGTTGTCTATCCGATACCTGTAGTTAAGACCTGCAGGGTTCCGCGAATTCACTCTCCATATGTTGATTCAACAGGCTTATTTCACATGCATTTATCTGGGGACTAAGAGGTATCTTCATCCGGTTTGTCTAGCGTTGGTGTCTCATTAAGCACCATAGCAAAGGCAGCACTAATCGATTGGACCTCTCCTAATGGTTGATTATCTGCCGTTAGATCCGAAATCTCTATCAAAATGCGAAGAGACCGGTGTGAGAAACTGTCTGTTCGTTATCGCAGCCTACATCCCGACAGATCACAACCTGGAATCAACCAAAGATGAGCCCTACCACCAGTTAAGCAATCTCCGAGGAGCGTGTTCGGTAGATACTGAGGTGTTAGCCGGAGATGTAAGTGCACAGGTGGCGGTTCTAGACGCAAAAGAGTCGTTTAGATAGCCAAGGCCGAATCGTTGGTCGCAAGTTAGATAACGGTGACCTACACCTGTAGCTATATGCAGACCACAACCTGTCTATGGCCACTACTAACTTTCGGGACAGTCATTGCCAATGCGCTACCTGGAGTCCTCCCTCTGCATCTCAGCATTGGACTCAGTTTGATGACATCGCAGGCGTGGTCGTGTAAAAGACTGCCGCTCCTTTTGGAGCACCTACCTGGAATCCAATCATGCCCTCGTTTGCCATAATCTTATCTTACGTTCTATTGGACAAGTTCATCAAATGGATTGTTGTAAACAAGCCGGCTTCAGCTTCCGTTCCAGTCAAATATCGAACTGAGCTACGTGCAAGGCTAGTTATCAACTTACGAAAATTTATAGATGAGCACTGGCTGTATTCGCATGACGCAACAAAAAGTGGTGACTAAAGTTGTTCGAGGTTTACATAGGCTCCTTATAACTCCTTGAGGCGAATCGGTCTACTCCCACTAACCACGAGTTTGAGATGGGTCCTTACATGAAGAAATCGTGCTAATTTTGCGTAAGGATCGAGAAGCCTGGTGGTTGGAGCGTGCTATCTAGTTGAAAGAAGCGTCTGCATCTGATAACTACCGAAAGCTCTTCTAACTCATCCGAACCACTGGCAGCAAGAAATGCTGTGTGAGGGAAATAACATATGAAGCTGATAGGGTGCCAATCAGTGTCTTAGGAGATGGACTTAGTTCTTCAAGGAGCAGTTCAGGTCGTCTGCTGCTTTGGCGGAATCGGTCAGACCGTCTTGTCCTCCATTGCCAACGACGACTGATTCTCCAAACGATTCAGAAGTTTTCATGGAACTCCAGCATCCGAATAACATTGTCATAAAACCCAGAAGATTTACTTACAGGCCTTTTTAAGGACGGTCGAGAACCTCTAGTCATGAAACTGACTAGATTGTTTCGAAGTGTTTGGAAATTAGAATGTTTCGATATCCTGGAATTAAGCGACAGTTCCTTAACTTTAGAATGGCTCACGTCATCTGCGTAACAACTAGTGGACGGTAAGTCTACTTCCGATTGGGTCCAAATTATCGACATATTCAGAACCCTCGAATGATTGATTCGAGAGGAACAGGTTAGTTTTGTTCTGGTTGAGAATGTGTTGATCATATGTTCATGCTCCGCTAAATGTCAGATCACCGTCGTACTTATTGAAGGCGAAACATCGTTTTTTCCCCTATATCAGGGTCGCCTTTTATTCACTGAACAACACTGTCCTCTCTGATTGTTTGTCGAAAAAGGGTGTGCTTGTGAAGCTCATTAACATATTGAAGACACTGTGTAGAAACACCTCAGTCAGTGTGAAAGCATGCAACTACCTCTCCACCTAACTCCATCCGAGTAGTTGGGTTAGATAGAGTTGCCCGATCTCATTATTCATGTCCAACTCTGCCTAAAGTCACATTCTGGAAACAGCTCTGATAGAAGTATGTAGTGGTGATGCGTATCTGTTACCTGAAGAAAGACTCTTCCACGTTGAGTATGCGGATGATGTAGTCTTAATGTGCGAGGATATCTATGCCATGTGATCCGCACTTGGTTGGAAGTGTCCGTAGGTATGGTACGTGCTCTGCACCTAAGTGCAAAACACATCTACGGGACTGACAGGAGTCTGTACCTGCACTCACTCTTGGAAGTGGGCGGTTAGACGTAGTCGAGAAGTCCGTGAATTCGGATAGCTGTTTAAGTTCAGGTGATGATACTAATTTACGTATAGTGAAATACAAAGTGGCTTATCTCAAACTGGGGCATCTCCGGTGCCTTCGTGATGTTGGTCTTGTTGTAAAAGGTCGAGTTTACAACGCGTTCTGCTGTATGGTTGTGAAACCTGGCTTCCGAGTTGAGGATCTTAAGTGATTATCGTTGTCTCTAAAGATTTCTGACATTCAGTGGCAACACCATGCTAGGAACACAGAGGTTCGGGGATGTGTGTTCGATTGTAGTGACAACAATCCGATTGGTGTCACCATCTTGAAACAGCGACTTTGGTGGCCTGGATATGCATTACGAATGTCGTCCCATGTCGTGCATCATTTGCCAACGCTGAGACTTGTTGGAAAAAGCGGAGGTGTGGTCGGTGTATGACATGGTGTCGCAGTATGAAGTAATGCTCTACAGGACTATCGTGCTTTTCCAAACCGATACCGTTGACGAAGCTGCTTAACAATTGTTTCGTCGTAATTTGGGACTTCTGACCATGTACACTATTAACTGAAGCTAGGAGTCATCGGCCATCAGAATTCATCTCCTCTCAAACCTTCTGAAATTGTATGTTTAAAAGTCTGAAATCAAGATTAATCGTACACTTATAATTTTTAATAAAGCATATCTTCAAAATAGTTGACTGCAAAACAACCATCTTTTAGTAACAAATCTGTGAATGAAACTTTGAGGTACACTAACGTTAGTACCTTTAGAACCAATAAATGTTTTTGCTCCCAGTCGAATACGATTAATCCCGCTTTCTTAACCTCTATGTACTGTAAATGACCAACATTTAGTTAATTAAAGTTTCAGTTCGTGGTTTAACTTCACTCCAAGATTTCGTACACTCGGTATACTTCAATTCATTTCACTAAAGACTCAGCAATAGGATTATTCATAATTAAAAAAATATATTTTGCACTAAGAGAAGCATCAGGTTATTTGGATTGAATATTGCCCACCTAACAAGTAAAGCTGGTTCATTTTTCTTATCAGATTTCTCTTGAATATGTTTATGTGAATCCGTAGTCGGAGCCTTTAGCTGATCCTGCTTTCATATTGTCACCAAGATATTGGAATAAAGGTTTCTTCTATTTCAAAACTTAATCTAGTCAAGTACTAGTTGTAAGTTAGCCATATGTATCTTTTTTATTTTCAGAATCTGTTAGGAACTTTAATTCGTGTTTGTTTCACTTTTTAAGGACTATGGCATCTAGTGAGGAATATCATTCGCCATCAGGGAATCTACCACTTCAGTTGTCGGCTAAACGGATTTCCAAAGCTCGTAAATCTTGTTCCGGAGATCACCAAAATTGCAGTCCGGTTAGAAAAAATCATATTGACGACTCGAACAGCATTATCGTCACTCCTTCTATTGATAGTCGAGAACTTGATCGTCTAAAATTCACTAACCCAGGTAGACAGATGGAAGAACTAGAAGTCGGTTGGTCCGAAGCAAATATGACACGAAGTGTTCGCAGACAAATGACCGTTAAATCTGGTCACAAATCATCAGAGTAAATTAATGTCTTATGATAGTCAATTTCCTTTGTAATTCTGAGCCACTAACAGTTTTATTTTTTTAGCTTCAGGATGTGTTGTTGTATACATTTGATTGGCATAAACGTTTTTTAAATTTAAAACAATTAGTCCCTTTGATAAATTTCGATAATGCAATGAGAAGACGTAGTTTATCAGAATTATGTGGTATATTTGCGCAGTACATTTCGTACAATCTGATCACACACATAAATTTTTTTAAACATTCTACACTTGTGTTTGTATGATTACCCCATAACAAGAATGAGGGAAATTATATTATTCATTTGAAGACCATTTAAGTCATCCAATATCCTTCAATATCTGGATACTTTATTATTGGACACTCGTCTTCTGGTTATTGTACAACACTTTAAAATACAATATTTTTGGTTTTCTTCGTTCATCATGAATCAATTCATTGTTTTCGAATTATGCTCTTTGAAAATATCGCTTTATAAACCCAAGTGTTTTGAATTTTGCATTTCTGGAAATCTAGTTGTATGTACTATAAGTCGGCTACTGTTTAATCAAATGAATGTCAATGCAGTGACTAGGTAGATAATCTACCGAAGCTTCACTTATAGTGGTTGTAATTAGACGGGTCTGAGATCCGTTGTTTGTTGAACTATTTCGTCCTCATATTTCATCAGTTGGTTGCTAACTCGTCCTTTTCTTATTGACCGATGTGATTGCAACTGTCCGAGAAAGCTGTGTTGGTCATTCTGGCATTTGTTCGCGCTCAATATTAACTGTTGTTAGTGGTTTTATCTCCGTAAATTATTGTTCGGTTCACTCGGATAATGCACACAAGAGCGATTGGAGTCAGACTGTCTTATCTCCAGATTTTTCAAAATATTACTTACGTGTATTTTACTAAATTTAAATCCAAGGAAGTGTTCAGCACAAACCAACATTCCACTGGTCGACATTTTCTCCGACATGTTATCCAAATGTCATACCTCAACAACTAATGCGAAAAGGATTTCGACCACTCTTCGTGTCACTGTATTCACACTGACTTCCACCGTATCCTCCAGAAGTCATGTTTCCCTGTTCACCTTGTCCAAGTTCACCGAAACCGCCCTGTACAGTTTAATTTATGCCTCTACATTTCCGTTTCTTGAATGCACTATATCCGCCTTGACTAATTTAACCTCCGTTTACAGAACCACTATAACCTCATGCAGGACCCAAAATACCATTATGACTAACACAGGCCACTGGTTACAAAAATGGACGGCCGATTATTTTTCGTTAATCATATTCGAGAGGTGCGTTTCCACTTGTTGTTCCATCTTTGGAACGAGGTCCTCGATCAAAGACTTTGAGGATGTGCCCACTATTCATGACCACAATGTCACTACTTATCATATACGTAATGCCATGTTTTGACCTGTTTGCGCCAAGCATTCCTTGGGTCAAGCTTTTTAGAATAGCCAGCTCCGGCTAGCTACAGAATAAGCCTGACTATCGCGAATCAATATGTGGAAGTCGATTATATTTTTGTCCTCGTTCACATCCCTTTGTGAGTACTCATTTTGTCTTACACAGCATGAGATTCTCTCGCTATCTATTATGCATTTGCTCGCAAAGTTTGAGATTCATTCTATCTTATACTTGCTAAAAACTTTCATCATATTATTTCAAATGATCTGCAGGTCACATTTAACAATCAGCATCCGTTCAACGTATTTCCTTTCGGAAATATTCAGCCTGGTACTATTCGAAGACCACATTTTAAAAATAATTTCCCTGTTTTCCAACCATCATCTCCCAAGAATAAAAAACCCAGTAGGAGCATCGATCGTTTTGCGGCAAAATGCTCTAATTTCTGTGATCGACTATTCTGTTTGTTTCTCGAATTGTCTCGTTTCATGGTAGATGGCCAGATTTGCTCTTCAACGGCTGTGCAAACTTAAGTTTTGATGGGACGACACAGTTTGTAAAGAAGGACATAAAACATGGACGAAGTGGATAGCGGAAGCAATACATCTACAACGTATTGCTCTAACAAGGTCGTTAAACGCAACAAGCTATTCTACAATCGAACTTCGAATGTTCAGTGATGCTTCAAGGGATAACTGTGGAGCAGTAGGATCTTTATCGCTGACTGATGAGCGAGAAAATCGAGCTTACCGACTAGTGTTTGCTGTAGCCAGATCAGCACTTATCAAAGTGATAAACGGACCATGTCTTGCTTTGGCAGAGGGAGTTTGCTGGTAAAGATCTCAAAATTAGTCTGTAAATAAATGACCATCACTGTATCCAGGATGGCGTACTAGACCCTTACTTATGGTGCTTTATAATATAAATAATTTTTTTAAGGAAATTTCCAATAATTCTGTTAATAGATTATTGTGCATGCAATTAGAGCATTTTCATTTGTCGCTGTAATGATGCTTTTTCAACAAAGACATATCAACATAGTATTTATTGGACATGTGAATAGTAGAGAGTTCACTATTGCTGAGCATCTGGTGCACAAATGGTGTGGTATTGACAAATATGCTGTCAGTAAGTTGGAGAAAAGGCTTCTGAGATGCATAAAAGTTCTTCTAAGTATGTTTGGATAAATCAAAGCATAAACACAAACGTGTTATCACTTGATACAAGCAGCTACAACGCCGTGGACCCCCCGGACCATGAGAAACTTATTAATAAGACGGGCTCAACTACAATTACGTTTGCGCCAACCCCCGGTTGGTACGGTAACAATATGTTTGACAAGAGGCCGAACGTGGTGTTATATTAATGTGTGTAGGTGATAGAAGTGAAGTATATAAATGGCATCACTAATTCTGATTATACTCTCTTAGAAGCTTTAAATAAAATGGAGCCTTCATTAATACCATTCCACTTTTGAGCATAGACTCAAATGTAACAACCACCGGTATGAATCAGTGATCAAATGTTCCAAAAACCATAACACGAGTAAACAGGTAGCGATCAGCAGAAGGTATGCCAACAAATATTCAATACTTCAAATATAGTTTGACTGGTTTTTTTGTTTCACTAGTACCATCAAATATATGTTGATTCCAACTTTATAAAATTGGAAATGTCATTTTAAAATAGAAGTGTGACTAAGACTGGAAGAAAGATTTATCTGCAAACGAGGAGACACTAGAAAAATTGGGAGGAAGAACAAGTGCCACCAACAGACTGGAAAGAAGGATATCTCATCAAGATACCAAAAAGACGAGATCTGAGCAAAAGTGAGAACTACAGAGGCATCACACTACTATCGGTACCAAGAAAACGTTTTCAACAGTGCCGCTGGACCAGATGAAAGATTCAGTAGACACCCGACTTCCAGATCAACAGACCGGATACCATAGGGATCGGTCGTGCACAGACCAAATCGCGACACCGACGATCATCGTTGAGCAATCAATTGAATGGAACTTGTCACTATACATCAACTTCCTTAACTATGAGAAGCTATTTGACAGCATGGATAGGAGAACCTTATGGACTCCTCTTTGACACTATGGTGTAGCTGAGATTTTCAAGGTCGTACGGATTTCTTGCGATGGACTACACTGCAAAGTCTTGGATGGTTGGTTGTTAACAGACATATACTAAGTAAAGACCGGTGTCAGACAAGGTTGCTTACCCTCGCGTTTCCTCTTTCTCCTGGTGGTCGACTGGATTATGAAGACCTACACATCTGAGGGGAAGCACGCAATTCAATGGACAGTTCAAAACCAATTAGACGATTTGGTCTTCGCAGATGACCTGACCCTCCTATTCCACACACACGAACTAGTGTAGAAGCAGCCTCTGCATCAGTAGGCCTCAGTATACACGAGGGAAGAAGTAAGGTCCTCAAATACAACATGGAGAACATCAACCCAATCACATTTGATGGAGAAACTCTGGAAGATGTGGAATCTTTCACGTACCTGGGAAGCATCATTGATGAACAAGGAGGATCCGATGCAGACGTGAAGGCAAGGATTGGCAAAGCATGAACAGCATTCCTACAGCTGAAGAACATATGGAACTCAAAACAACTGTCAACCAATATCAAAGTCAGAATCCTCAATACGAACGTCAAGACAGTTCTACTGTACGGAGCTGGAACTTGTAGAACTACCACAAACATCATCAAAAATGTACAAGTATTTATAAACAATTGTTTACGCAAAACACTCAATGTGCATTGGTTGGATACCATCAGCAACAGTCTACTGTGGGAGAGAACAAACCAACTTCCAACTGAAGAGGAAATTAAGCAAAGACGTTAGAAGTGGATAGAACATACATTGAGGAAATCATCAAACTGCATCACGAGGCAAGCTCTAACTTGGAATCCTGAATGAAAACGGAAAAGAGGAATACCAAAGAACACACTATGTCGGGAAACGGAAGCAGATATGATAAGGACGAATCACAACTGGAAAGGGTTGTCGAGGACAGAGTTGGGTGGAGAATGCTGATGGGCTGCCTGTGCTTCTTCATGAAGGCAGCTGAAAAGGAAGTCAGGAAGCCGATTTTTTTGAAGAATAGATTCACCTTCATTTTACTGGTCGTTTTATTAGTACTCACTACTCTCTGGTCTTGCTGCTCTAGTTATAAAACAGACAGTGGCTATTATTGTGATAAATGGGATGAGATGCAAGCCAGGTGAAAGTACATTTTTCGGTTTCTTTTTCTGACCTGAGGTAGGTTATTCTAGCTTGGCTATGAATGCATTTTTTATCACTAGTAAGAAATATTTTCCCTGGTCTATTTGTTAACTTCCTGTTTTCATCTACTATTAACAGTCGGTTGCATCCGTTATACGATTCTCGTGGCCGCCTTTTAGGAACTTTAGAATATAGTTGTGATTGTCTAAAATCTGAATGTCCTGGGTGCCATTTGCCATGTCGTAGGTGCCATTCTACGTTTTGTGGAGCATCATGTCGAATTTATCGAACTTATCGTGTTAATGAAGTAAGTTCCTAATCGTTTCATATTAACGTTTTCTTCATCCATTGAAAGGTTATGTTATTCAAGTTATTACAATTTTTAATACTCTTTTCTATTAAATTGTATTCGAGATAAGTCTGATGTTCGTGGATTTATCTTCGTCCACAGTTCGTTTGCTATCGGCAGTTTGATAGTTGACGTACTCGGAGCTTAGCCATTTGGCTACAGACGTGGAACCCACCTCAGCTACTATAGATCGTATCACAAAAAAATATCCCAATACCTTACAGAAATTTGTATTCGAAAGGGGAATTGCAGGAACTTGTATTTGATTATTGAGTTGCATTAATAAAATTTATCTTTATGTAAATATCATTTAGTTAATACAACTGTTAGTGACATTAATTGTTTAAAATACAGTGCAGTCGTGATCGGAATTTCTTTAATTGAGTTATAAAGTAGATAAAACGTATCTTAAAGAAGCAGAGAAAACTGGATTGCACGCTTCTTTGTGGGATTTAGGCTACCCTTATAAGTAACTTTCAAAAGAAGTCCTTTAACAGCAGATGAATATCTTCCCATCGCCTGGTTTATCAACATATATTTCAATCGTATCACCGGTTTTATTGTGTAATAAAATCGACTGATAATAAATAAGCCTTGCTTAAAACTAACAACGTTTATCTTGTGGTAGTTTATTGATATACTGGATGACAGTTTTGAAAGTGAAAAGTCACTGTATTGACTACTGAACTCAATTTTGAAAATAATTTCTGTTCACATGTGTTTTCATCACACCCGATGATGTTTTGATTGTTGGGATTTGGAGTGTGAGCTATTTTCTGTTGTTTATAACGTGGTATTTCTGTTTGACCTGAAATTTCAAATTAACGTATCTTCATTTCAATGTACATTAATTGTCCAAATACTCTAATATTTACAATCATTTTGTTATGAAAGTATTGAGTTAGTTACTAGTTGTGAAATTCAGAGGATACTGTAAGTTCATCTCGTGATAGTACTAATCGCGATTCTAATTTGGGTATATTCAGTTGGAAGTGTTTAAGAAGGATGATAAGCATTTCTTAAATCTAGATTTAAACCATAAGCAAAATATGTTTTGACTTATTATGTTGAACTGATAACATTATCATTAAATTGAATCTAGTTCATGCAAATTTTCCTACTTGGAGGCTATTGTTTATGGTCCTGTAGTGACTTGGTCTTTTTGGACTTCATCATTGTTACTGACTTCTCTTTCTCTTTAGCTGGAAAAACTAGCAAATAGCTGTTACGTTGAGACAGTAACTTGATAAATTTACTTGTCTGTACTTAGCTATATTTTTAATGAAAATAAAGGAATATTAAACAACTAAATCTTGGTCTCTAATTCTATTAGTTACTTTGTATTTGTTTGAACAGCTATTTCTCAACTCTTTTATCCATGTACGTTTTAGGTGTTTATACAAATATTTGTTTATCTGTCTAACAAACTATCTGCTTGTATTAATATATCAGATTATACTTTTTCTATCCATTCAATATTATTGCATTGGATTGGACGATTGACCGATTGATTATTTGGATTAATAATATTCTGAATATAATAATACTCTTGTCGTTATTGTGTTAATACCACTGTGGTTATTTTTTAATTGGAAATGCGACTAGAAATTCGAAGTAATCAAATACGAAAGCACGCCCCATATATTTGTGGCAATGAGTAGATTTTTTCCATGTTAAAGATTACTCCAAAAATCCTAGCATTGCTTTTCAAAGCTAAATGCTACAGTTAAGTACCTTTGTATTCAATCCTAATTTGACATATATATATATATCACATCGAATGTTTGAGACAAAATGAGTAGATTACTCCCTCATGGTTGTTCAACTGAAAATAATTAATGATTAGGATCACCATGTGTACTCCCTTTCGTGCTCGTTAAACTGAAACATAATTTTTTACATTTTTTGTTGAAAATTACTAACTTTCAATAATAACGATGGACTACTGATGTACTGACATTTCGCAAAATATAAAAGCTCACTCATGAGACTCACTAAAAATTAACAGTTGTTAGAAAACCGTGTTCATATTATCGGATAACTCTTGCTTCAAAGTTAACCATCCCTTACCAAATGATTTAAATCGCAGTATGAAGAAATACCTTGTATTGTATTTGGCATCTGGTATTTCCCTTTATTTGGAAAATCGGTAAGACTATAAACCCATTTAATTCAACAGCAGTCTTTTGCTTGTTGAATCGAGTTAAACATAATTTTAAGTTATCTTGTTTACTTTCTCGTCTTTATTTTAGGTTAAACTGTTTATCTGACTTCATGAGTTCAATCGTTTGTCGATATCTAACCATCATTTTTTCCAAATAAATTATTATTATTATTATTATTATTATTATTATTCAATGAGAGTCTTATATTTCTTCGTTTACTTAAAATATCGATTATCTCAGAAAAAACGCGTGTATTTTCCGAATATGGCATGAACATTTTAATTGTCTTCGCTCAAGCATACTGCCATTTCTTTATCATGATTATTATTCATACCCTTCATTAAAGTTATGATGAAAACTGTTTTGCAGGACAGTTCTCAGTGTGGACTGTTCATCTTATAACTGATAACAAATATTGATTGGAGGAATGTTTGATAACTGAAAGTACCACTAAATTATTTACATTCTTTCTTCCAAAATTAATAGTTATTTTGTATGTTTCGTACGTTTAATGTAGTCTTTTGAACTGGTTTCGATTGTTTAACGTTCACTGGATAAAAGTCGATTTTTCGAACTACTTTATGTCGTCATGTAAGCTGTTTCTCTTGCTTAACAATATCATATTCCAAGGAAATTAAAATTTTTTTTCTCAGTGATCGAAATTTAAGAAGAATTTTGAAAAAGAACTTAATATAATTATCTGCGTTGTTAATTATGTTGTTCAGATTTGGACTTGAAAAGTTCACGAAATCATCACCAACCTATACGACTGTACATATATATATATATATATATATATATATATATATATATATATATATATATATATATATACTTCACTGTCGCAAATTTAATTGACTTTCAGTGTTGAGTCGAATCCCTATATGAAATCGAAATTCACACTTTTGCCGCCTTTATACGTTTTAGAGCTAGTACAGTTAAGAATTTATGAAATCTATCCTCACCCTATACCCTGTCTATAGGTCTTACGATTTCTGATCATAACTAAAAGCACATAATCCAAATTATTACCAAGGTTGTGATAGTACTGAGTTTGTTATAAATATCCTTTATTCAAATTCTTCTAAGAAACAGTCAAAACCTGCAATGAATGATACACTGTGAACTATTATTCCTGACAGACTTCGTTGCGTCTAAGAAATTCGTTTTCGCTCCCTCCATTTAGAAATAAATAACAAAGCTAATTCTTACTTACTCCTGTTACCCTCATAAAGGAGCATAGGCTGCCCATCAGCATTCTCCACCCAACTCTGTCCTCGACAACCCTTTCCAGTTGTGATTCGTCCTTATCATATCTGCTTCCGTTTCCCGACGTAGTGTGTTCTTTGGTATTCCTCTTTTCCGTTTTCATTCAGGATTCCAAGTTAGAGCTTGCCTCGTGATGCAGTTTGATGATTTCCTCAATGTATGTTCTATCCACTTCTAACGTCTTTGCTTAATTTCCTCTTCAGTTGGAAGTTGGTTTGTTCTCTCCCACAGTAGACTGTTGCTGATGGTATCCAACCAATGCACATTGAGTGTTTTGCGTAAACAATTGTTTATAAATACTTGTACATTTTTGATGATGTTTGTGGTAGTTCTACAAGTTCCAGCTCCGTACAGTAGAACTGTCTTGACGTTCGTATTGAGGATTCTGACTTTGATATTGGTTGACAGTTGTTTTGAGTTCCATATGTTCTTCAGCTGTAGGAATGCTGTTCATGCTTTGCCAATCCTTGCCTTCACGTCTGCATCGGATCCTCCTTGTTCATCAATGATGCTTCCCAGGTACGTGAAAGATTCCACATCTTCCAGAGTTTCTCCATCAAATGTGATTGGGTTGATGTTCTCCATGTTGTATTTGAGGACCTTACTTCTTCCCTCGTGTATACTGAGGCCTACTGATGCAGAGGCTGCTTCTACACTAGTTCGTGTGTGTGGAATAGGAGGGTCAGGTCATCTGCGAAGACCAAATCGTCTAATTGGTTTTGAACTGTCCATTGAATTGCGTGCTTCCCCTCAGATGTGTAGGTCTTCATAATCCAGTCGACCACCAGGAGAAAGAGGAAACGCGAGGGTAAGCAACCTTGTCTGACACCGGTCTTTACTTAGTATATGTCTGTTAACAACCAACCATCCAAGACTTTGCAGTGTAGTCCATCGCAAGAAATCCGTACGACCTTGAAAATCTCAGCTACACCATAGTGTCAAAGAGGAGTCCATAAGGTTCTCCTATCCATGCTGTCAAATAGCTTCTCATAGTTAAGGAAGTTGATGTATAGTGACAAGTTCCATTCAATTGATTGCTCAACGATGATCGTCGGTGTCGCGATTTGGTCTGTGCACGACCGATCCCTATGGTATCCGGTCTGTTGATCTGGAAGTCGGGTGTCTACTGAATCTTTCATCTGGTCCAGCGGCACTGTTGAAAACGTTTTCTTGGTACCGATAGTAGTGTGATGCCTCTGTAGTTCTCACTTTTGCTCAGATCTCGTCTTTTTGGTATCTTGATGAGATATCCTTCTTTCCAGTCTGTTGGTGGCACTTGTTCTTCCTCCCAATTTTTCTAGTGTCTCCTCGTTTGCAGATAAATCTTTCTTCCAGTCTTAGTCACACTTCTATTTTAAAATGACATTTCCAATTTTATAAAGTTGGAATCAACATATATTTGATGGTACTAGTGAAACAAAAAAACCAGTCAAACTATATTTGAAGTATTGAATATTTGTTGGCATACCTTCTGCTGATCGCTACCTGTTTACTCGTGTTATGGTTTTTGGAACATTTGATCACTGATTCATACCGGTGGTTGTTACATTTGAGTCTATGCTCAAAAGTGGAATGGTATTAATGAAGGCTCCATTTTATTTAAAGCTTCTAAGAGAGTATAATCAGAATTAGTGATGCCATTTATATACTTCACTTCTATCACCTACACACATTAATATAACACCACGTTCGGCCTCTTGTCAAACATATTGTTACCGTACCAACCGGGGGTTGGCGCAAA